CTCGTGCATCTTTACATCTTTCAGCACCACTTACAGGTTACTAAGCACGCGCAAAAACACGACGTGAATCTGGACAGAAAGACGTTTGTGAACACATACCACTCCTTTCTTCATGGTGGCTGCCATCTTGAACAGGAAACGGACTGCGTGCACGCGCGTGAACGGCGGCGGAATGAAGCACGTGGGTATTCATGAGTTTGTTGCCATTTCGGAAATGTGCAGCTTTTGACAGAGAGAGAATGACATATGTTTGACTTTAATAACTGCCTCGAGCACTTAAGTTTTGCATTTCGGTTTTCTTGAAATTATCCGCAGTTTTCGTTGTGGTCAGGATTTTCACAACACTTACTGATATCTTGACGATAGTAATTTTATTTCCACATAGACTCATAGGCGTAGCTTGACGTTTGAGCTTGGGGGGGGTGGGCAAACCGAACCGGTGGATTTGGTCAGACATACTTTTAAACACATTTTAGTTTGGCTATAGTAAAAATACATATTCACATTCACATAGAGCAGTGGCAAGTGCTTGAGCTTGTTACTGGGTTCGCCGTAGAGGGAATGGCAAAGCTTGCAGGGATCTTTCTCTTCTCTGTGGTTCTTTTTACCTTGCTTTTCCCCCCTTGGTTGCTTTCCCTTCTGTTGCTTTTTTGTCTTTGTGTTTATGTAGTCAAGGTAAGAAGGTGGCTTGGCTCTTTTCCTCATGGGCCTCTTTCGTTTTGTCTGCTTTACTTCAACACCTATCACTTCTATATCAAAATGTCTCTTTCACCCTTTCTCTTTTCAGTGAGTTTGTGCCCATGTGTGCACAACTATGTTTGCGTGTACACATACACATGCCTCACTAACATGCACACACAAACATAGTCGAGCACACATAAACACACATCACATACAAACACATTTAGAAGGTAAAACGTGAAAAAGGTATGTCACAAATGCAATAATACAATATATTAATAATATAAATAATTTTAAATAAAAGGAACCACCAGAATTTCCGCTTAAACTCAACTCAGAAGGTGGCCTATTTTAACTGAAATTAGTGGCTCATTTTATCTTAACACATTCAGGTAAATTGGGCCAAGTAACTAAAAATGCTTTTTTTATATATAAAAATCTGGATTATTTAGGAAAATCAGCATTTTATCTCACAGAGGCCATCAAGATATGGGTTATGAATCATTATTTCTAAATGTGCATTGGTTTTTTATTGATTTATCAACCTTATTATTGAGAAGTATAAGATTGGATATGTCAGGCCACTCACCTTGCTTTTTTCTGGCGTGGTCTCAAAATGAGGCATTGCCCCTCACCCCTGAGCAACCTCAGACCAATAAAATCATTTGCTAAATGTCAAGTACTGTTATGGCAACAGTTTGAAATTCTTTGCAGTCATTGGCTATTAACTTTTAAAGAGATAAAACACTCAAACCTTAAATGGCCCATTTTACCTGATGTCCCAATTTGCCTGATATCACCCTATATATATATATATAGGGTGATATCAGGGTGATATATATATATATATATATATATATATACTTTTATGTCCCCAGGGATTGATTTCCTTTTTCCACCTGTCGATGTAGCCTTGTCAAAAAAAAACAAATAAATAAAAACATCTTAAAAATATGAAAAATGACAATTAAATGTTATTGTAGGCTTACTTGGTTACTTTCTAAAAACTCACAGGGCCAAAACCCGTGCACTTAAATTCAGCTTGGCTGACTGACTTGACTGGATTATTTTAAGCTCTATCTTTATTGCAATTATTTTGGTTGTTCCTATTGTATGTTTTAGTCATTTTGAAATGCATGACTGTGCATATGTATGCAATTTGTGATTTATTATGTGCTTTTATCTGATGCATTTTCTGTTGCAATTCAGTCTTTGTATTGCTAAGTAGAAAAACGGACCTTCAAGACATCTCAAAATATCTTCTTTTATGTTTTTAAAGGGGTCATATGATGCGATTTAAATGTTTCCTTTCTCTTTGAAGTGTTACAAGCTCTTGGTGCATAAAGAAGATCTGTAAAGTTGCACAGACTAAAGTCTCAAATCCAAAGAGATATTCTTTATAAAAGTTAAGACTCTGCCACGCCTACCTAAAACGGCTCGTTCTAACACGCCCCCACATGTCTACGTCACGATGTGGGTTTTAGCAACATCATATGACCCCTTTAAGAAATGCATGACAGAAAATGAAGACCGAATCTTCATTTTTGGGTGAACCATGTCTTTCAGCTTCAGAATATAGCCATGTGATCGAGTGTCCAATCAGTGTTCTTCTGGTAAGTAAAACAGAGTCGTGCCACAGGACACAAGCTGTTGAATATTTAGTTAACATAATGACAGCGGACACAACCTGACTGAACAAACTCACTGTGGTTGCTACTAGTGCTAGTTTCTTAAACATCCTCTTTGTAAACAGCGTTACACCCAAAGACAAATATTGGGATGATATGCAATTTCCCCCCCTTTTCCCAACATTACCATTCATATATGATTATTTTTAATAGCTATCTTTAATTTACAGGTGTGTATATTTGAGCACCAATGACAAATATTAATTTGATAAATGTGAAAACTATAATTGCAACTTGTTTGCATTCTGTGCAGTCTTATATCTTAATGAAAATATGCTTCGTTTGGATGATTTAGTGGAATGCCTTCAAGGTTTTTCTCTGTTAGCATGTTGCAGGAATTCCTTTCATGGTGGCAGATCAAGTTCACAGTGACCACGAAGGAATTTGCTGTTCGCCCCCAGTGTGTGCATTTACAATGTGACTCTGTATCCATGAACGGCGCTTACATGACAAAAATCTGCTCCTTTGTTCGTTGTCATGCTTTCTGTTGAATAGGAAAACACAGTGCACTGTACATATTAGAGTGTTCTGTTTGACGTTCATTTAATGAGATATTAAAGAGTTTACAGTACGTTTTGGCAAAGCGAGAGGATTCGTCAGCTCAAACAACCATGTGTGATTTGAATAGAGAGTGGAGAATGACTGAAACGGCCGAACTGGGCCTGTGGGAGACAATCGGCATGTATTTAGCCTGTATTTATGCATGTCGTGCAGTAAAAAGAATTATATTAATGTATCGTAAAGGTCAAGTATTGATAATTTATGCTAAAACAGTCAAGAAAAGGGTGGGCCAGATCACAATGACATGCATTTAACATCAGTTATGCTGTGATTACATCACAAGATTAATGCAGGAGAACAGTCAACTTTATGTTAGCCTACCTACGTTTGCTGTCTGTTTTTTTCCCTTTCAATGATAGTATTTTGTCATGCCAAGTATTTTTTTTTTCTAATATTCCTATATTTTTCAAATAGTCTAATAACGAGAGAAGAATCCTTGTCAAAGTCTGTTAATATTACAAAATTAGGTCATTTTAATTTTTTAAATCAAATTATTTACATAATATACTGATTAATTAATCAAATGGATTGCAAAGCATCTCATATGTCAATATTTGACTCAAAGAATCAAAACATAGTTTTGGTATTATTGAACAGTATATTGTACAAATGCTTTGAATTTAGATGATACTTGGATGGATTTATTTTACAATCTGGAGCCGATGATCAAAACCAGGGTTCATCACGATACCCAAACGAATCAACAAAAAAGTTTGATGATGAGCTTAAACTGATCAGTTTAACAGGCTGTGAAGATCAAATAGTCGGGTCAATGAATCTGCGGTGTCCAGAACAGGGTTTTATAGTTAATAAAATACAACTAAAACAATTTTAAGAAAGAAAGAAATGTTGACTGAATTCAAATACAATATAAAACAGCATTTATTACTTTTATTTCAACTGTATAAAAAACAAAAAACACAAAATAAAAAATAACTAAAAGCTTTGACCAAAATTAAAATGGAAAGTAAGAAAAATTAATAAAGTCTGATTCAAAACTATAATAGTATCTCACATTGAAAATCTAGGATTTTAAATCTAATTGAAACTTTAAAGTAAACAGTTTTTATACATAAATAAAAATTGTATAAAAGAAAGATGATCATATTTTCCAGCATGCTTTGAGATGTTTCAAAGAGAAGAAACATCTCAAAGCATGCTGGAAAATATGATCATCTTTCTGACATTGATATCAATTTTTAAGGCAACTTGCAGTATCTTTTAAAAGTTATTTATTTATTATTTTTTTATTTATGTTGCCCACCAATGCAGCATTTATTAGATTAAAAATACAGTAAAATTGTGAAATGTTATTACAATATAAAATAAGAGTTCTTTGTTTTTAATGTATTTATTTTAAAATGTTCTGTGATGTAAAGCTGTATTTCCAGCATCATTACTCCAGTCTTCAGTGTCACATGATCTTCAGAAATCATTCTGATATGCAGATTTGCTGCTCAAGAAACATTTCTGATTATTATCAATGTTGAAAAGCGTTGTGCTGCTTCACATTTTTGTGGAAACCAGACTCTTTCAGGATTCTTTGTTGCATAGAAAGTTCAAAAGAATTTTTCACGTCATTTTTCATGTTCCTTCCCATGTATTCTGCAAGTGAGCAATCATTAAATAAATAAAGGCTTAGGTTGGTAAGCTTGTTGTCATGTACTCTGTACTCAAGCCCTGGATGAGAGTCATACTGCGCAAATAAACTTGTGCTATATATCCTCTACACACATCCTGTTTGGGCTCAACCACACCTACAAAACAGGCTGTCCCGCGAGAGCTGTTCTCAGATCAGCCTGATGCTCTCTCTGCTTCAGTGCTTTGAGTGAAGTAATGGATGATACTGTCTGATTGATGCCTTATCTTTGATGTGTATGATAATCATGTCATCTTTATTTAGGTGGAAAAGCTCATCAGTGAGAAACAATAGGACATGATCATGAGTTCATCAGTGCTATAGGTTCACAGACCGTGTCTCATCCACAGTTTGTCTCACAAGTACCTTAAGGTAATACGTTTTGAACCCCACCCTCTCTTAGGACAGGTATATGTGTACACACGCGGGCTGACAGACAGCAGACTGCTGGAGATTGCTTTCATCGAGCTTTGGAAACTGTACACAGACTCTAATTGTCCGTTTGGGGCACAAGACAGTGGAAAGGTAAATACAAATATTTTTATTAATGTCGTTTTTATTCATTTCAGTATTTTATTAAATCAGAATATGCAACTGTCTGTAAGTTTGATAGTAATCAGAAATATTATTTAGAATTGAATTATCATCCCTGCATGGGATTGAACCTACAGCCAAAACAGGTCATGAGCTTCTCCGCCCTGCAGCGATCTATAGTGTTTCTTATTAGGACTTTTAGTGATATGATTAAATGTAGCTCTTGTAACAGACGTTTGAACAATTGTTTTGAGCATATTTTCATCATATTTATGTTTAATAGCCGTTTTCAATGTCAATGCCGATATTTAGTTGCTGACTTGAAGCGACCATGGGAAACGAGCATTCAACTCAGAAAAAACGGCAGAAGGTGAAATTATTTTTTTCATTATTTTTTATTTTTTATTTTATATTAACATAGCTTTATTTTGCAACATCTATATTTTTAAGTTAAATATACAAGAAAAATGTATAATTTATTTCCCAGCATTTTAGCAATGTGATGATTACATTGCTAAAAGTACAAATATTCTGTGCAGTCCTAAAAACGTTTTTGTTCAAATTAGTCGTAGATTATAGCAAATGTTTTCAATGTAGCAAGTAATTTTATGGCAGCTATGTGTTTGTTTTGGTAGATATTTGTGTATAATCTTGATTCAGAAAAGCCAGATTATAAATCATTATACATTATGCATTATAATTAAAAAAAGATTATAACACTCCTTTTCCAATTTAATTATGTGATTTTTTGTTTTGTTTCTCTTTTGATACTTTCTCTGCTGAAGACAATCATGTGATAGCATTATGTTTACTGAGACAACTCTGCATATTTATACCAGGGTTGTTTTAGTTAACTAAAATTAAAACCATAAAAAAGAAAAACATTTTGTAACTTAAAAAAATAAAGATTTTTTATTTTTTATTTTATTTCAGCTATAGTTTCCAAAGCAACATTTATATCAAATATCAAAACTGTATAGACATGTTTTTTGTTAAATAATACTAATAAAAATGACAAC